ACACCAGGATAACACAAACTAACATCCAGCAGCCAACCAAACACGAACACTCAACAACTCCAAAAAACAAGCACAACACCACAATCACCCCACACACACACACACACCACACACAAAACACAACATCCCCATATAAAAAAACTTAAAACATCACAAAGCAAAAAATAATACAACCAAAAAAATAAAATAACAGAAAAAACCACAACAACACAAAAATTAACAACCAAAAACTCTACCCAAAACAACAGCCCAACGCAATAAAAGTAATAAAATAATCATAAATACAACAAATCATTACGCCGAAAATAAACAACACCACACAACCCCCAATCAACTAAAAAAATAAAACAAAATGAAACCAAAAAAAGTAAAACCACTCTAAACACACACCAACATCTCACGGCATCAAACATATACAAAATAACAGCAAGTATAACAGAAAACCACACCCCTAACAATAACCAAACACCAACATAATCAAACAATGCAACCAATAAAATAAAAACATAAAAAAATAACTAAACAACATAAAAAATAATCCCCACATACATACAATCATCACCCACCCTCATGGAACAACAAACTATAATATACACAAACACAAATACACATCTGAACCACCAATCACAACAGCCTAATGCTATGGATTAAACCGTAACCCACAGAACAAATTCACATAGAAATAACGAGACAGTAATTAAAAAAACAAAAACGAAAGACCGGCCCAACAGGAAAATAACCCTACGCAAAAACAAAAAAAAAAACACAGAGAAGAAAAAGAAAAACATTTTAACAAATACCAAAAAATAATCAAATATCTTTATTTTTTATTTCTTATTTATATATTTATACATTATCTCAATTACACAATTTTATAAAAATTCGCATTAAACTACAATATATACAAAATTTTATTATTTTTATTTTGACACAGTCTATAATCTCGTAATAGAGACAAGATAGAACTGAGTTCCCCATCACAACTCAAGAGATACAACATGTCCGAAAGACAATATAAAAATCAAGAGAATAACCATATATTAAAGGATAGACACTCTTACAAATACCTCACAATTATATCGACAAAGATCCGCATGTGCGAAAAAACAATGCATCATAAATTATTGCGAAAACTTAATCATTAGCGAAGTTATCAGAGACAGAAGCGCGCCGCATGTGCTCAACTACACCGGCACAGATTGGAGACACTCATAATAGTCACTTGAATCAAGGCACACCTTCCAACTCATATCCCGACACCCGCAACAAATCCGAGTCCCCACACACTAAATATGAACATAAGCAATAATGAGACAAACGAGAAACAAAGACGCAAGAGACACTTAACAAAAACTAAAAGTTAAAAAAGAACATTTGGAGAACAAACTCATGAGAGATATGATCTGTCCACGGAAAGACTGCTTCTAAACGTCAGCACTGTCCAGACCGAGCCGGGCGCGAGTACTCCAAGACTATGCGGCAAGCCGACTGACCCATGTATAGAACAACCCGTATAGAGACTGCACACATCCTGGACTCTCTCGATCGTATGCGAGAACAAGGGCACATTGCCAAGGAATATGCAAGGTAAGAACTTGTCAATTCGATTTACATACCAACATAAGACATAGAAAGCAGACTCATAAGTTCCACTTGAGTTAATTTTTACGGAGTGTTTAAACGGACTGAAGGTCCTCAGTTACAGTTACACCTCAATGTCCAACAAATCACTTGTTGAAACACGTTTAATACTCGAAACAAACACATTATCTTCAGGCACCAATCGCCTTCGCAAATAGGTAATTCTGGTGAACTTCAAAAAAACTACCCGGACGATACAATTCAGCATAGCAATGATGAACGCCTTAACAGCTTTATTGAGACAGCCATATGCAAGGCCATATCAGTTTCAGAGAGATTGTGAAACCGAATTTTACTTACTCTATGGATTGGGGATATTGTTTCTTTCTAGCCTCTATCTCTCAATTATGCTTCATTAGAATGATAAATATAATTAACATTAGGAAGTATGAAATGCCTCCAAGATCACAAAAAATTCAGGAACACACTCTCATACTCTAAAGTTAAAGACGCTACCACGTATCAAACAACACAAAATAGAAATAACACACTACATTACGCCCAGCTATCACTCACTGGCTGGAAAGTAGTGCGCGCTCGCTTAGGTGCTCTAAAAAACACGGACAGACGACAAGACAAAGATAATACTAGATTAACTCATAGCACGCACACCATATAAAACCGCCCCTATCGCAAGAAATGCCCTTGATTCTCGTAGATTAAATGTCTCTATTCATGAAGTAGTCCAGTCATCAAAAAGAAATAAAAAAAAAAAGCAACTTGCGGAGCATCAAAATTTAGAAGAAATTCCAATTTACATGATATAGAACTAGGACCAAAGTACACAAAAGAAACTACTATAGAAACGCACTAGTTTCTATATACCAACACAATAATCAAGTCTACAATATCTTATAAAACCTACCACATTTTAATAAAGCATATATGATTAAAAAACAACCACACACAAAATGATGCAATAATACTCTTTAGAAGAATAAAAAATCGATTTAATACTATTATTTATATGTTCTCTAATCATACAATTATCTGTACTCTTGTAAGACATTTATAAAACAAAATATTAGTACAATAAAACCAAATCTCAAATTTCAATTTCAAAAAACTAAGTCAACTAAATTACAAAAAGCGGCCCGAAAATATGGCTTTTAATACTAAAATAAAGCTACTAATTGACCCACTAAAACCATCAAATTATACTATATCTTCCCTATACTCTATAAACCGTATATTCTCTATGAATTACTCCTATTATATTTCAAAAGCACATAAATTGCTATTAAGAATCTTTAAAATGCGAGCGAAGAATTATAGATTATTAAAAAAGGGCATTGCATAATTGAATTATAAACAAAACAAATAACAAAACGTATTCAATAACTTGGGCCACATACAATATATTATATAAAAAAATTCCTAGCGGTCAATAATATATACGAACACCACACCTCATTCATATATTACCATTATAATCGTATAATCTACACCAAAGGACACAAAGCAGCAAAAATATTAAAGAAGACGCACTCTTGTGCCAAGATAAAACAAACAGCATATCCCCTCTACATAGATCCCTAGTTCATTCACACAGAAATACCTCAAAACGGGAACCTCAAATCTAGTCTCAGGTCCTGGTGTTCATGAGACGTCCGATAAGGAAGCTGAGCAATATCAAGTTAGACGAGCCGTTAAATCACTAACTTTTCACCGAGGGCACTAAAAAATCCAAAAGGCTAGCTATGACGAAAGAAGTTTCATGTCTTTTGGAAATAAAATATTCTCTTATTTTATTTTACAAAATTGGTAATGAGAATATTTTTTGAGGACCTTTGCCATAGCCAACAAGATGGTCGTCGACCGTGAAGAATTGCACCGCAGAGTGATGAGGGAACTTGGATCCATAATGCCCCTATTCGAAAGCAAAAGCAGAACCCTGAACACACCACTGTTTTTGCACATAAACATCCAGCTACACTTGTTCATGAAGCAAGGATTGACTATAATTGAGCATCATCTAAATTACATCAATAGAAGAAATGAATCCAATCATAGTGCTCGCATCTTAATTAATTACTTTTATCAAAATGTCAGAACCCAAAACATTCCAACATTGGTCAACAACCATACCCCGCTCCACATAGCTCTATCCTAAAACAATGGGCATAGAGAATTGTAATCACTTAAACAGAGGAAATAAAAAATACGGCTGAAACTTTAAAAAAGACAAAACTATACTTTAATTTTATGGCGTTAGCAACCAATCCACAACATATCCAACTAGACCAAGATAATAGTAGCAAGTTTTTTTGTAATAACCTAAGGCCCGCTTACAAAGCTTCCACTGCCACAACCAATTAACCC